GTTGAGTAGTACATTGATAACTGTTTTAAAACCAGTTGCTTCTTTATTTCAGATCAAGAATACTCCTTGTACAGAATGTTAGCCAGTGTTTTCAAGTGGTTGCATCGGATCGTTCATGGAATTTGAGTTTGAATTTACATAAATGGTCATTTCAGTTTAGATGTTGGGTTGTTCGACTTCGACCAGGAGGTATATAGAAGATTACGCTCAGCAGGGAGATAAAGTATGTCAATATGGAAAAAACATTATTATTTTATGTACATATAAATGTTTATAAATGTATATCATTGTATAGTAAACACTACCCATAATCTAGTTGCTTTTCATGTAATTTTGCGAAGTCTTAGAGTTTATTTAGTGTCGTAATATTTAATAATGAGTCTAGGCGTTATAGTGTTCTAATAGCTCATGCGTTTTAGAAATAAGTGGTGCGGTGTGATTGGCATAGTCATTAGGATGAAGCAGTTCACATAGCAAGCGTTTGAAGGTTATGATAGAGTGACAGGTCCTTATTTCTAGGGGTAAACTGTTCCAGATCTTAGAGTACATGACTGTGAAGAAGTTTGCACGGAGTGTTGTCTTACATTTTTTCCTAGATACTGTGCACGTCTGGTTACGAAAGTTGTAAGAGCCTTCCGGTGAGAACTGATCGTTTGTGCCGCGAAAACAGTTCACAATCACAGATGTGAACAAAGTCATATGACAGGTGATCCTTATTTTAGGCGCCTGTCCGGGGATGAAAAGGAGAATATTTCACCTGTTGTGAAGACTACATCTGAGGTTGGTGGTGTTTTGGAATATGATGAAGAGAATTTTAATAAAGTTTTGATGAGTACAGATGTGCATAATTTACGTAAGGATGTGAGACCGGGTAAGTGATGCAGTTTAAAGTTATTTTGCAAGCCATGCCTTTGAGATCGGACGTTATGCGCATAATAAGGCGAACCGGTCAGGTAGTTGAATGCGTAGATTCAAATACAGGGATAACCTTGCCGGCATATGCTGCCATGTCACACTCAAATTCCTCAGTTTATAGGTAAATCAAACTCTAACAAATATTTAAATTAATACTTTTAGTTGATAAAGTACTTCGACTGTGTCGCAGATGGTTTTGGCGGGATCCGTTGCTACCAAGTGGTGTGCCGTGTGAAAGTTCAGTGAAGAAACCCTGCATGGAGATGCTGCAACTTCGCAGGCAATTGAACAGAAGCTTCGCAGTTATGCAGGATAATTATAGTAATGAATATACTATTAGTGCACTGCGCGCAACCCTGAATTACTTTGAGAATTTTATTGTCTGAAAATGGAAGATGTACATATATTTTTTGTCAATAAATGCAAATATACCTTAACTTCTAAACTGTATACGCCTTCTGTTTTCCGTTTCATGTGACAAAAGTTTAAGTCATTTGCGAATATAGTAGAAAGTATTTTATAGAGCGCAAGTAGGAGTGAGTACTAGGCGGAATCTTCAGCATTTAGTATGAGAAGTAATACAATAAGGTAAACGTTTTTTCTTATAAGTACGCAATGAAAAGATAATGATGAGTTTTCGTAATTAGTATTGTATTTACCATGTAGGTAATGTTATTACAAGCATACGTCGCTATAACGTGTCAAGTCTTGTGTATCGCTGCATCAGTAACATAAACACCAATTGTAGCGTTATCCAGTCAGTAAAATTTAGACGTTTTGTACGACAAACTTTGCGGAAGGTAAATGAAATTAAAGGCTGCTTCCAGACGATGCGTACAACGGCATCTTAGGCAATGTCTACGAAGACAAAAATAAGACAATTAGAAGACACGTTAAAATGCATAAGAAAATAAGTCAAGTACTGTTTTGAAATAAAGGAGATTACTAGTATTTTTACAAAGTCTTCCACTCATTTCATTTCTTTCGATTCCTACCATTTCTTGCGTCAGCGTCACTTACTTATGGTTCTCTGTCACTTCTCGTTGCACCCTATTTACACAATGCAAGAAATTGAAAAAATGAGTGCAATACTTAGGATACGGCAATAATCAGGGTGTAAGCAGATTAACACTGCGGCGAGGTGCAACAGTAATATTAATAATTTGCTTTGTTCCAAAACAGTATTAATGTTAGTGTTACATTGCAGCATCTCGTACATTATTGTAGTTAATTTTATGAAGTAATATTCGAAACAGTTGTAAAGATCACATTACAGGATTGTTAAGGACACTTCATATTTGGTATTAGCAGTAACAGTGAAATCACATATGTACATTTATATATATTTATTTACCAGAAAAATTCTAAATAATAGGGTCGGTAACTAAAATTGTCAGTTAATTGAGGTAGTGTGACCGTAGATTAAAAGTAGATAATAAAAGGGCCACTTATTTACCTAACAACACAGTAATTCATAAGTCTTACGCTTTGCGTTACCTCTACCACATGGAACATTGATTGTCTATATGTGGTATCGCTGAGTTCCCACGCTTGGTTGAACGACCATATAATCTTTTATACTGACTTCTGGCTCCATCAGATGAAATTAAAGGGAAGAGCTGAGAATAGAGGAGATGTTGAGGGTTGGACAGTAAACATTTAGACCATTTCTTGTATCATTTTAGATGTCCTTCAGCTAATGCATAACGAGTTGACTAAATGGTACACCACTTGCCCTCATGATAATCTTAATACCTTGCACAATACGACATAGCCGCTTTTGAGTAATTCAGGAAAGAATAAGGGGGAGCAGTAAAGTAAATTGCAAAAATAAAGGTTGAATGATTCCTGGTTGTTTTGACTACATAACGTGGTAAGCTGCAAGGAAGATTATCGTAGAAATCGAAAAGATACAGAGTGACCAAGAAAGACCAGAGGATAGAACTACTCCAAGGTATTTTATGTTAGACTTAGTTTCTGTTTCAGTGCCCTCTTTGATACAAGCATCTTGTGAACGACACAGTTCTCGACGTTTTACGCTTTTGAGTGAAGGGAAAAATAACTGCCTGACATTTAGAGGGATTTAAGGTAAGACCATGTACCTTAGACTACCGACAGGAAGCAGTTAAGTTTCCTGCAGTCACATTGTAACATAACAGGAAGTGAGACGGTCAGATCACCAGCGTATTTGACGAAGAAAGAGGAAAGTCATGTAAGACGAGAGCGAAAAAAGAAAAGGAGAGATAACAATACCCTGAGGAACACTAGCTTCAGTAAGCGAGGCGGAAGATTTACCTTAATATACAGTATGCTGCATTCCATTTGAGAAATGATAATGCAACCAGTCAACTGCCCAGGACTCATGTTTGCACGACCGAAAACTTACTCAACTAATGTCATTTAGGTCCTGAGTCAACAACAACGGCATATGCTGAATGACTGAAAGCTTAGTACAAAAGTGATAGAGCACAAAAAACACTTGCAGAGTAGGAGACGAATCCCGGGTGGAAGAAGAGGTTACTGAAAGGTATTTATTTGTCATTTAGCAAAGAACAAGATTAAGAACTACATTTATCATTTGCTGAAATTCTGGAGATCATTATTCAGTGTTTCGCATTTAGCTATGCCTAGAGTGTGTCATTCTACCTGGCTTTCAGTATGACTTCGCAAAGCAGTCCAACTATTTAGTTTACCACATTCCATGCTCCACACAAAGGTTGAGACGTAAAACTAAATGGAAGTTTAAAGAGCGAAAATTTGAGGGAGAATAAATAGTGACAGGGAAGAACATGAGTTGAATAGATACGTGAGATTACACAGAGTGAATGCATCTGTGCCATTAACAAAGATTTGCAATCATATATCTAGTAGTTTTTCTAGCTGGCTGTCAACCAATACTAGCTTTTCATTCGACCGACCCAAACACATTTTGAACCTTAACATATGCTGGCTGACATTATCCCCCAAGGAAGGCGATGGCTTGGTATGTTTTCACATGATCTAGCCATCTCAACCTATTCAGCTTCCCTAACTTGAAGACTAAATTACCCTCCCCACCTAAAATTTATGTGTGAACTCAACATCACTCGCCATACTATACTGCTTTACACATAAGATAGAACACAGACACTTATAATCAAACACCGGTATTCTTTTCACATTTTCCAGCATCACGGGGTTACTTCTCATAGTCTGGGTGTACAATATCATCAGCAAACTGTAAGCTGATGAGACTATTCCCTGATAAGTCTCAAAAGTCAATTACAGACTGTTCTACTAATATATGTGTAATTGAATTGAACTGATATAAGGATGACAGTTTAAGAAATCAGCCTTATGTTACATCCCACTTGGAAATGTGTTTTCTCGGATAATTCGCGAACATTATTCAGTGGATAGAAAACACTCTGTAGACTTTATGAAACTCATAAACTGATGCATTACTTTTGCAGGCAACATAGTGTTTCCTCAGTAAAGCAAGAATTGGATATTTCGGCTGCATAAAACGAGTAAGTGGTATCCTGGTAATACCAATGACAACAACAAGTCTTGGAATTATGCACTACAACTTTTACTTCACTGAATACTCCAGCAGATTTTAAATAAACACTTGACAAATATCAAATTTATACAGGAAGTCAGTAAGATTTAATAAACTAAAAGTACTTTTGGTTTACATATGAGTTCTCCATGCCGAATTTATTCCTTCAAGGGCCTACACAGATTTCAACTTCAATTAAATAACACTGACGTGGAAGAAATTCCATTCTTCATTACTAAACTTAATGAAAAGGATCATGCTTTTTATTCTAAAGACAAAAGCATTCGTAGTGTTTCACTCTATGTAAATGCAGTAACATACAGTTGCACTAAGAATTCAGTGCAACTCGATGCACCATAGTATATACACAAATAAAATGAAAAATAATGTTCTCCTTACCTTCTGAACAACTTGTCCGTATTCCGAGGTAATAACTTTCTTTCATATATGAGGCTGAGTTATGTCTATGAAGTCACAAATCTTCCCCCAAAACAAGGCCACTTGAAACCAATAGAAACATAGCAACAAGCGTCATTGCGGGGATATGCAATAAAGTCGCTCCATGTCACATAATACTGTACCGATTCTATAACTAGCTGTTTTACATGGTGAAACTGCACCATGAATTGCATCATACTTCTAACGTCATTTGTGCCTCGTAGTCACTTAGCATTGTTTATATCGTTCCTAAAAACGTCAGGAGTATTTAAATGATGTAGGTCATTGGTTAATCTCTGGTGTCAACTTAACGGGTTTCTAATTCCTAGAAGTGTTTTCATTGAACAGGAAACTAAAGCTCACCGTTAGTGTTAATATAAACAATGTGATGGACAACAAACATCTTTAGTTTCCTTATGGTGAGGCTCTCTTTTCAGCATAGGGTAGTGACCTTGAGACGAGAAAATGGGATCTATGTGGTAATGTAGGGGCTCCTGGAAAAATGTTACTCAGGTTCTCGGTTCTTGCCGTTAAAAACGATTATTTGGGAGTCAGGTTTATTTCAGTAGATTTGAGGTACCCTTACATTCTGTCCGATGTTCGTGTTCATCGCAATAGCCTCATATGCTTTAGTTATGCTAACCTTTAATCATGATCATAAATAATTGGAAACATTCAGGCACCTCGCCCTAGTCGAAGTCATGTTGGCGCTACTGTTTCTACATGAGCATGTTTTGTAGGTAGGGTCATTGAAAACTCAGTGCATTAAACTAATCCTACACAAAACTGTCATGCTGGCAAAATCAAACTTTTGTAACGACTTGAAATTGTTTTAAGGACTATTAATATTCTTAAGAGGATAGTTTGTTCACATCACGCCAATGTAGTCAGGCCAAATAGTTTGATCCAGTACATTTCGGGGGTTTCTTTAGGACCTGATAAATTATGGCGAGTTTAAAACTCACCTACAACAGTATATATAGTATTGCCATTTTCCACTTAGTACATCTGTAACTTATTCTTTATAGGGATGTAAATAAATGTGTAAATTTACTTATATGCACACGTATTTTGGTTTCAACTTAAGCCCATATAATTCTTTCATGAACAACAGTTCCTGCAATTGCACTCTGCATATGCCCAGTAGTTAATAATTAATCAATTTTATATAATACTAGTCACATTAATAGGGGAAAAGTATTATCTCGATTTTTGGCTGCTTTGCAAATGTTTTATTTCAAAAGTCAACAAGCACTTTGATAGCTTAGAACTTCTGAATAGCACAAGAAGTACCCTCTTCAAAACTGGGAGTAAATTGTAATGTTTTTCGTTTTATACTTACTGTGTGTATTTACTATTTATTGAAAAGTTGAAATAATTTAGGTTGATAAGTTAATTAACTTAAGAAAGTCATTGTGAGCTTTTTCCTTCATTCCAGGTTTTGAATTCCGTCCAATGGATGCTTTAACATTTAACTCTTCTAACATGTCTTTTCCTGAGTCTGGGAAGACTCCAGTTACTCAAATTTTTCCTGTAGAGCAGTCTGCAATTCAAGCTTGGGAACGTGAACAAGATATCCACTTGGCAAATCCTCATGTGGATTTGTTAGATGCTTGGTCTTCGGATGGTGGTAGCATTTCCTCATCTTCATCATGCTGCTCTGACACACAACATACGGATATCGGTGAAGTGACTTCATCTATGTCTTGTGATAAAACAGTGAAAGGGGACCATGCAGATTCTTCGACAGACACATGTGGGTCAGTGCAATTTAGGAAGCGTCATCTTCATTACCTAAAGTATGTATTCATTTGTTTTAGTTAGATTCCGATTGTCTTTTGAAATTAAGAAACCATTTTAATACTAATGTTGTGTTTTAGTTAAGTGATACAATGTCTTTTTTGTATCTCTGGCGTAATAAATCTATAACGTCGACGCACTTGCGATCGTTTATATCAGCCTCATTGTTTGGAGTGTTTATCGCTTCACTGTAAAGTGATCTCAGTTGACATTGTCTGCTGAGAAAATAGAGGAATGCTCTAGAGAATAGCTGTGCTTCTCATAAACAGAAATTCTTGTATTTCTCATTGGCATAGTAAATGGTTAACAAGAAATATAAAATCATGTAAATAACAGTGTAAGCAACGGTAAGCGTTGAAAGTCAAAGAAAGCGATGATGTTTGCATTCATGAAGGTGAATCTGAGAATTGCTGGATTTTAAAAGACTAATTTTATGGTGTCATTAGTTTGATCGTCTTATATTTCTAACAATTTTCTCCCAATGTTATATTCACTGTTTTATCCGTTTACCTACGTCATAAGAGTTGGTTATAATAGTTGAGAACTTCGTGTTGCTTCACGCACCTCCGAGTTTATGAAGCTTATTAAAAATGAAGTCTGTAAGTCTGAATTGCTTCTTAAACTCTGATCGCCAAACCAATCTACAACATAAATGCAGTTTTAGTTTGTGAATTAAAGAGAAAACAAATCTATGGAAAGAGTATTTAGAAAGCATCGGTATCAAGTAATACTGAATGTGCTTTTAGCTGTCACTGATCTGAAAAGGTCGATGATTAGAACATGTAAAGAAATATCTATTATTTGTGTATTGTGTTTACAGGCAACTGTAATGTTGAACCGAAGATCCTAACAAATATTCTGCTTAAGCTTTTAACTGTAAAGAAATGCAACATGAGCTTGACTAAGACACTCCAGGTTTCCGGCTGTCAGTGAAGTTGACATTATGGTATTAAGTTGGTAAATGGAGCAGCTGTTTTCAAGGTTATTTATCGACGACTATTGATTATATTCATTATCAACTGTACTTGTAGCGCAGAATCCGTTGTATTCATTCAAATCTAATATTAAGTTTTCATTACTCTGATTTGACATGATGTACTCCCTGTAATTGTTGGACTAAAAATTACATAACAGTTGATTGTAACTTAGAGTCCAGAAACACTGAATTCCTGAGAATTTTCATCTAATTAGTAGACAGATTATATTGTTCCACCTGAAATGTAATCAGTTTTGCGTGAGGCTTTCAGGAAATGTAATGCAACTTTCATATTTTCTGTTTTATGATTACTGTCGTTTCCATATGGTTTCAGCATGTAGATGGTATTCAAACGAGGTTTCATTTTTAACTGTTGGCTTTTGTTGGTTACCCTTAAAACAAAAAGAAATATCATTACGTCACTAATGATAGTTGTGTCAAGCGTATATAATGCCTATAAACAGTTTATAACGTGAATTTGTACTCTAAGGACTATAATGCAAATGAAACATCTTATTAGTACCTACCTCTCCATTCTCCCTAATTCCAACTTTACTTATTGTAATAACTGCTTACTTTCGATTTCCGGCATGTACTCATGAAGTGTTGAAGACTAAATCATTGAATTACACTTCTATCTATTGACTGCTTAGCATAAATGATATCATGGTTCGCTTCGAGTTTTAAAGTGTTGAGTTGTAGGAATTTGATCGACCTCAAGGTAAATTTCGTTATCAGCTGACCTCAGTTCAAGTCTTTAGTTGATCGTTCTTATTTTTGTAACCATGACTTGAAAATAGAGTCTGCGAAGTACATTATTCATAAACTCCATCAAATTGTTCAGCGTGTCCTTGAATTTTGTATAGTATTCATGGTTATTGTTGTTGTTAAGTAATACAAGTTGTTGATTACACTACATTCGAAAGGAAGTACACTTAGATTGTCCGTTATTAATTAACAATATGTTTAGGTAGGTAATAGTACAGAAGCTGCTAACCCTGCTCTTTTATGCGTTTTCATTCGTTGTTCGTGTGGATACTTTTCTTGTAAAAGGTTGACTAAAAGGATAAAATCGAAGTTGTTTTGATTTTCTAACCTGTTTCCTAACAGGTCTGCTGGTGTATACACTAGTGAAGAAGTTATTGATCAGGCGATAGACCGTTGGCGCTCGTATAAGGATTTATGTTGTCAAGCTCTTTCTGTTTTAAGACAACAACTTGTTGATGCATATATTCCTTATGCAATGGAAGAAAACAAAATTTCTGCATCTAAACAAGTACCTAATGAACCAAGTAAGTAAAGGCTTGAGTTTTTCTGTTAATATTTCGGCTGCGTTGAATACATTTCTTCTTAACTATGTACTAAGTAAGGCGGTCTGAGCTAATCCGCTTTCTCCTTTACAATTATAAGGCATCCTTAATGCAAGTAGTTGGTACGAGAATGTTACGTTTCTTTGATCTGTAAGGTCTGATTCACAAATTAGTCGACTGAAATAAGGGTTAGTTGGCCTGTGTCTAATCTTAAGTCACTCACTATCTTGTTAGAGTCTGAAGGAAATAGTGTTTTGGTAAATCCAATTGTTATTCAAGCCAGAAGATTGCTAAATACCCTGAATTAAGGAGAAAAATAAGGGCCTGATAGATCAATCTGAAAGGTGTTTTCTAAAGGTAACTTTGCGTTAATAATTGAAACAACTGGATCCTCTTTCACTGGTTTTAGTCAGAAGTTCTTTAATTTTTCAAATAATAAAAAGAACTGTAAGTTATAACCATAACAATACAAACCTAACCAGTGTGATCGTGATGAGTTATTCTGTGAAGTTATTTTTAACATATTTTTAGTTGTATTTTCTCAAGGATTGATCTTATGAGACGTCTTTCAGTTTACGTCTTACAGACCTAATAGTTCTTGCAAGTTGTATGCGTAGTCTTCTGGACACATTCATTCATATTTTGAAGATTTTAAAAGTACATTTCTGATGTACTAATATTTGCTTTTTGCTTGGTTTTCATAAATATCCAGCGAATAGGTTGATTGCATCTCATCAGCTTGGGTATTTTGTTGTGAAAGGAGTTATGACATTCGAACAAAGTAGTGGACATGACTGATTTATGTAGGCCATATGTAGTGAACAGCACATTCTTCTATCTTCATAAATGCATGGTAAAATTGGTTGCTAAATAAATAATGTCCTTTACAAATACTCTCTATGTGTTACTGTGGCTACGATGTGACCAAAAGTAATGATGCATAGAAATGTGGTTCACTGGTTTAATGACTTGGTTTTCCACTGAAGCGTTCACCTACTTCACTTCCATAAAATTAGTGCAGATCATGGTCTGGAAAAGAAAGTATCTGTTCCGTGTAACTGAATACTAAATATCGTGCATAGTCTCATCCAAGTGAAGTAAGTCAATCGATAGTTGTAAATCTGTAAAGTGCAGTTTTATGTGAAGTAAGATTGGCTTATAAAATAGTAAAAGGTCACCAAAACGAAGATATGACATGATAATACTATGTATTCACAACTTTTGTCTTAGTTTATAAAGGGCAAATTAAGGTTTCTTGTTGCAGACTTGCAAGACATAGACATCGAGTGGTATGACTGAAATTCAGTCCCAGTGGCTCAAATACATTCATATCTTGTTTCTATCTTCATCTTGCCTGCTTGGTGTATTGATGCTAAGTATGCTACCGTGAATCTTTAATAATCGATGTTTGTTACAGGATTTCATTATGATCTCACATCAGTTAGAGAGTCATTGGAAAACTTGGGGGTACTGGACAGCTGTTTCGTCAGCCTAGTTTGGGACTCTTCAGCAGTACGCAGCCACCAGGGTTCGAACCTAGGACCTTCTGGTTACAAGGCCAGCGAGCTCGTAGACCATTAACCTAGTGGGGTTCTAATGGGACGTCGTGACCTGTAGGGTGCAGCAGGTTGGGAGTGATATGTAGTCACATGATGTCTGCTTTGTTTTGACAGTCTGATATATTTTGCTATGTGTATATTGATCGTTATTCCACTATAACTCACAACATGTTTTGTCTGTCCATTAACTAAATAAACAATGTATGACCTTTTGTCACAGGACATTACAACCAATCAGAATCCAATGGTGGTAAGAAAAACTACTGTCTATCTTATTGGTTTATGTATGTTAGTCATTTTCATATATACTCTTGTATTGTACAGTTAATTCACTCTTTCACACCTTTCGTACTCTTTAGTACTTTTCCACTCACACTCTTGTGTGACAGTTAATTTTCCTTGTTGGGAAATACACGTATCGTCGTGAACGTGGTGGTCTTCTGATTTGCCTCTTCGCGTCAGGACAAATCAACCAGTAAGCAATACCAGTCTGTACGTTATCGTCCGTTATATCTTATTAGCGCATATTTACACTCAGTCACACCATAATATAGGCAACGACCCCATAACATATTGGCGACGAGTTCATAACAGGGAGTGAGGACAAATACTCGCCGAAGACATTGGCTAGTGGTCGCGTTATGTCATGAATTGGCAGAAGTGTGCGTCGGTAGCACAGTGGTTAGGACTCTCGCCGACCATGCACATGGTCCGGGGTTCGATCCCATGCCGACGCACACCTGATATCTATGATCGGCCTGCAAAATATGGGCTACCGATATCACATGCTGAAAATTCCATACCTGTACCAAAAAAATACGGTGTGGAATCAAGCTGTAATAAAAAAAGTTGGAATTCATATACTGGACATTGGATCGGGTCCCAGTGACTTAATGGTCTACGAGTTTTCTGGCCTTGTAACCAGAAGGTCCTGAGTTTGAACCCTGGTGGTGGATGTGTACTGATGAAGAGCCCCAAACTAGTGGGACGAAACAGCTGTCCAGTACTTCTAGGTTTTCTAATGGTTCTTTAACCGATGTCAGCTCATGATGAAATCCTGCAACCAATCAGTCGAAATCCCTACATACCAATACTTGAAAATCAGTATTTTTCTTGGTTTATTGGATATACACTTCTCACAAAATACTCTTTTACTAAGTCGTCACTAACAAAATTTTCAATTTTATTTGTGAAAATATAGTGTAAGACTTATTTGGTGATCTTTTTATAAATTTCTATGGTATATTGGTATAACTTTTCTCTAAGCAGATATACCACCCGACATATCGAAACGAGGTCACTTGAGGCAACGTGCTGCTAAAAATATACTCCGTCATTCCGTCAAGGTAATTTTGATATGACTGTATTGATATAAAATTTTTATCAGAAACTTGTCAAATTTTTAAATTATAAATACATTTCTCTTAATGCTGAAAATGATTATCTGCAGATTAAGGTGTAACGACTCATGTAGTAGGCATTAAAGTTGTTAGTGAATTACTTCCATTTTTCGACAAATAGAGATGCCTTTAAAACTTTTTAATGGTATTTTTGTTGTTGTTGATGAAATGTAACAGCTAACTACTTGAATTCTAATGCCTAGTTCTATCTCTGGCTAGGTGTGCACTGTTTTGAGTGTGGACTCCATGCGTTTACTGTCTTTGATGTCGAAGGCAGGTAAAAAGATCTACTTTCATAGAGATTTTCACACTAGATAATGTCATGTGGAAAGGTGTTGTTCAACATATTAATCCCTCATATTATTAAGTGTGCGTCGGGTCAGTTTCACTGGCATTTCTTTCTTCTGATATGCATTATTTTAGGGTTTAGAATAATCATCAGTTCATTAGAATCAAATAAAAAGTGTAAAATTTGGGAACAACAATCTGGTTTTTATTAACGATTTTGTAAAACAGAGATAAAAAGCGGTCACTCTACACAATCGGATCAGGTGCTGATATGATTAATGTAAAAGATAGACAACATTCTACTGAGTCAAAATTCTTCAGCTATCTGGAACAAATTTCTTGTTTGACAAGTGTAATGCGTCTTGTTTACCAACATTTTTATCCTGCTGGCAGCTGTATTACTGTTATTATCCCCTTGGGTTCCGAGTGGAACATAGGGCTTCAATAGTACATCTCCATTGTGTCCTGTTCTCTGCATTCCTCTTTAGATGGTTGCACAATTGCCCATAAGCCCGCATCTCTTCCTCACACGTTCTCCTCCGTGTCACCACCGGACGCTCGACTCGTCGTTTCTCATTCGGGTTCCATTCCAGTGATGGCCTAGCGCGTGATGTCACCCAACGGTCTCCTCAGCGTGTGTGTGATGCATCTGCATTTTTTCGGCATATTTGTTGAGCATTAGGTTCTTGATTACTTCGTTCCCAGAGTTCCCTGCTGCTGATTCTTTCTGGAAATCTGATCTCTGATATTGAGCGTGGGCAGCTGTTGATAAACGTCTGCTGTGGCCTGTTAGAAAGGCTTTTAATGATCCGCCAAGCTTCTCGCCCATATAAATGAGACTTATTGTACTTTTTCAATTATCATTATTATTATACAGAGGTGTATTCATGAATTCCTGATTACAGCCTCCGAGGTATTTTTGTCAGATCAATGTAATTATCAAAACTGAATGAAGTGAAATCATAATTTGATAATCTGTTGCGTTGTATAAGCCAGGAGATAGATTCCTGGCTTGACAGCCAAGAAAAGCAGGGTTTTCTTTTCTAGTTTTATTTATATACTCATTACCCAAGTAAATATGCTTTAAACTCTATAGTGAGATCAATATGGTATTGAGATATGAGAAGACATTTTGTTAGCTACAGTACTCACATGATCAGTTTGCTGTTTTGTGCATATTTTACTCTTTCAGACTGCAAATCAAAGACATCTAGCTTGTGTATCTAAATTTGCTATAGTCAGTAATCGTATAGCCAAATGGCGTAAATCTACTGCAAGTCAACAATGTCGCTTCCGTGATCCTACGACAACAACTTGGGAGAAACGTTGTACAAACCGATGTATCCCATTATTACCAGTTTGTTCTCATCATTTAGTCCAAATGCGACCTGCACCATACTATGATGATTTAAATTCATCTGTCGCATGCGAAAATTCAAATGGTCAGGCGAATTCAGAAGACAACATCCTGAATACCACTTCCAAATCTGATGAGCCGATAACTGATTTCGTCGCAGATACTACTAGTAATACAGCTGATATTGAACTGACTTCCCCACCTATCCACTCTATTCCTACTAGTCGTAGTCGAAATTCGTCCTGTGGAGATTTCCCCTCCTCCAGTATGAATAAATCGATAAAATTTGATGATCACATTAAATCTCCATCTTCCCGCTTGAATCGGAGCACTAAAGGACATTTTGATCAGTCGAGTATGAGTAATCCTAATTCTCCATCTTTACAGATTCCAGCACAGGTAAGTAAAATGATCATCTATCTTTTCTTTAAATAAAAAAAGAAATTATGTATGTGTGATTTCAGTAAATGTTGTAAGGGTTTTATTATTTCGCATTTTGGAGATATAGTTCCATTTCCGTGAAAAAGGCATCCAATTCAGATCCCGCTTCACTTTTAAAGTTTGCCGCGACCAGTCAGTAACATTGGAAATCTTTACGCATAAGCATAGCTTGTAACATAATGCGTACATTAGTTATAAAAAGGGATAAACTGGTTGGCATTACTGTTACTATTTTAACGAAAAGTTGACTTTAAACTACTGTGAATTAGACCATTTATGACGCAGTGGTCACTCAGTCAAGCTTAGATGTTCATTTGGAAACACAACAAGCAACACTTGTTGGTAAAATAAAATTTAGTGAATTCGTCAAATTTCAATAGAACTCCTCAGCTGAATATTCCATATATAATGTGAGAGATACACTATAAGATATTTATTATTAGTATTCCCTTGAGTTCCAAGTGGAACATAGGGCTTCAACAACACATCTCCACCTTGTCCTATTTTCTGCCGTCCTCTTCAGCTGGGTCCACGATTGCTCATAATCTCTCATCTCCTCCTCCTCGCACGATCTCCTCCATGTCACCCTCGCACCGATGACCCATTCGTTGCTTCCCATTGGGATTCCACTCGAGCGATGGTCTGCATTGCGCACGATGTCATTCGACTGCCTCCTCAATGTATGCCCAATCCATCTCCATTTTCTGCTACATATTTTTTGAGCGATCGGCTCTTGGTTGGTTTGTTGCCAGTCAGAGTTTCTTCTTGCTAATACTTTCTGGCTTGCCGGCCGGCCATTTGATCTTCAGTATGAAGCCAGTGAAGGATTTTCGTAAGGCTGGCTGGATTCAACATAGAACTTGGCACCGAAGTGCAGCAGTTCGAGTTGCCACGTTCTAAATTTTCGTAAGGAGATTAGTCAAATCGACACTGATGTACAGTTTGAGAACCTCTATAAACAAACAGGGGAATTGGTCGCCTCCTGTGATGAAGACCGTGAAAGATTCAAATTAACCCTGGTAGACTGCTGTTATCAGTATAGACAGAAGAATTAGAATAAGCCCTATAGTATACTCACGAAAGAGTATCGAGAGGCTGTTAAAAGACTAAGACGAGATAAAAACATAGTTATTACCAGACGGGATAAGGGGCCGGAGATAGTTATTATGGACAGGCATGATTATATAAACAAGCTGAACTCCATACTAGAGGACGGTAGCAAGTTTCAGAAGCCAAAAAGTAATGAAAGATTAAACTGAAAAAGTAGGGAGAGACGTACCAAACTTATTAAAGGATTTGAAAGGTAAAGGGTATATATCACCAAAAACATACAAAAATCCCTTTTATATTTAAACAAAGAATTCACAGGACTAACTAGATACTGGTAACTATGTCCTGGAAAATGTCTTATGCACTGTGAGATGTAATCCAGAAGGAAATGAATATGTAGGACTAAAAATCGGAAGTTGGAATTACGTAATAGGTGTGAAAAGTTATCCGATCTAACTGGGTGTGAAAAAGCTAGTTGAGAAACAGCAAGATGTTTGCATAAAGTCTACATAAGAAATACAATGTTCATAACAAACAGTGGTGACGATAAGTATAAAATCATGATAAAAATGAAGCATTACATACAATCATTCGCCTTACTATTGTAACTGTAGAAGACAAGTGACTTAATGAAAGATTGTTAATTTGCAATTCGGTACCTCTATTTTTTGAATGTGACCACGAATTGAGATAAATTAGAGAACCATTGAAAAACAGGGGAGCACTGGACAGCGGTTTTGCCCTAGTTTGGGATTTATCGGCAGTAGGCACCCATTGGGTTTCGAACTCAGGACCTTCCGGTTACAAGGAAATCTCACACCATTCAACTACTGGGACCCATTGAAATGGCCCATGAATTTTAGAGCGATCACCGACCACTGTCATCAGCGGTAAATCCATCCTCACTCCCGACTGGATGTACCTCACTGGTCACGACTTCTCACTAGAACTCCAAGAAAACGCTTTCCGGTGACATTGGCTGGTGGTAGCGCTAAGACCACAAATTGGTAGAAGTTAAAATTCATGAGCCATTGAGTCGCGTCCCAGTGGTTGAATAGTCTACGAGCGTGACTTGTAACCGGAAGATCCTAGGTTCGAAACCCAGTGGGTGCGTGCTGTTGATGAGTCTCAAACTAGGATGAAACAGCTGTCCAGTCCTCCCTGGTTTTCAATAGTTCTCTAACTGATATCACTCCGTGGTCAAACTCGAAAAGCTAATCAAATCCTTACAAATCAACTCTTGAAAATGATATCTTTATATAGTGAAATTATGTACACCTTATCTCCGAATCGTCATTTGCATAGATATTCTGTGTTGTGGTACTTCTGCCCTTCGTATTGTGTTTCATTGTCTTCTTTCCACGTCCGTCGTGTTTTGCTATAACACTGGTTCATTAGCTCTCTTTAACGTCAAGTCCATCACTCTGCTATGTCTGTCTGGATTCAACATAGAACTTGGCACCGAAGTGCAGCAGTTCGAGTTGCCACGTTCCAAAGAGCACACAAAGGTAGACAAGAAGATTAGTGAAGAGAATCAATAGAGTTTTGACAAGTATAAGAGTGAAACAGAATGAGTAATGGTAGAAAGGAATATGAAGGTTAAAGAGACTGAATGCATCTGCGCTATTGACAACGATTTTGAGCCATGTCACCTATTGTCTCCAGCCATTGATTCTTAGAGTCCCGAGGGCGGGCCTCAACCCGGAAGTCTGCATCTCCCTACCTGACTCAGTTTAACTGTCAAGGGTTTCATAGATTGATGCCATGTTTTTGTTTGGCCACCACTTACTCTTTTCCAACCTGCACCTATATCAGCTAGTAATGCCCGTCCGTCGGGGGAGACGATGGTTAGGCATGCGCAGCACGTGACCTAGCCATCTCAATCTATGTAACTTGATAGCCTCTTCGATTGATTTTCCCTCTTTGCCCAACACTCTACGCCTAACGTCAACATTAATTAATAATAATTAATAATTATATCCTTTAATTCCTACAGGAACATAGGGCTTCAACCGTGCGTCTCCATTGCGTTCGGTTCTCTGCTAGAGTCTTCACATGGCTCCATGTCTGCCCACCCGTTTTCATCTGCTCTTCACATGACCTCCTCCAAGTCACCCTTGGACGACCAACTCACCTCTTCCCTTTCGGGTTCCACTCGAGCAATGGCTTGTCTAGTGATGTCACTTGATGGCTTCCTTAGAGTATGGGCAATCCATCTCCATTTCTTCCTGCCTATTTGTTTCACAATCGGTTCCTGGTTGGTTCACTCATTGCCAGAGATCTCTGTTGCTGATCTTTTCTGGCCGGCCATCTGATCTTGAGTATTGAGCGAAGACATCTGTTAATGAAGGTCTGTAGTTTGTTTGAGATGTTCTTTATGACTCGCCGGCCAACTCTCAGATCCGTATAGCAGCACTGACTGACTTCACATTGGAGTTGAAAATGCGGATCTTATTTTTGATGCTGAGTGTTGTTGACCTCCACACAGACTTGAGAGTAGTGAAAGCTTGTCTTGCTTTTCCGATTCTTGCTTTGATATCCTCGTCAGTTCTGTTCGCCTGTAGTTGAAACGATGCTTCCCAGGTAGGTGAAGGAGGTTGTTTCTTTCAGGTTCCTTCCATTTATGCTGATTGTTGTCTGTTGGTGGTGTTGCCCAGAAATCGCCATCACCTCTGTTTTCTCTATGTTCACCTGAAGTCCTTTGATGCCTCTTGTGCCAACTTGTTGCTTTTCGCTTGCATATCTTCCAGTTTGTCGGAAATCAGACATATATCATCGGCGAAGTCCAGATCCTCCAAGTTTTTTTGTGTGAGTCCATTTTCTGCCTGTTTCCTCATTGCCCACTGTTTGTCGCATTATCCAATCTACTGCAATCAGGAAAATCATTGGCGATAGTAGGCAGCCTTGTCTCACTCCTGTCCTCACTTCGAAGGGTTCCGTAAGTTTCCCGTTGTGGATTACTTGGCATGCAGCATTGTCGTACAGCTGTTGGATGAGATGTATAATTGTCGGTGGCACCCCATAGTAGCGAAGTAATTTCCAAATCACCTCTCGATCGACGCTGTCAAAGGCCTTTTCAAAGTCGATGAAGTTGAGATAGAGAGGTGACTGCCATTCCATTGCTTACCTTATTATGCCACCTAACGTGAGAAAGAGATCGTAAACATCTATGATCAAAAACAGACAACCTTTTCATGTCTTCAACTCGTATTGGCCATGTTTCAGAGCCATAGAGAAGGACGGAGCGAACTGCTGCAATGTGATATTTTTATGCGGATGAACTTCTCTTTACATACTACTGATAAATCTTGTCAGCAGCATATGCTACACCATGACCAGGGTATCATTTTTTATTGTTTGCTGTTTTGGTCTACTATTATTTTTAGCACGATTTTATAGTTGTCATAACCATTATTATCTTCCATAGTAGATTAACTAACAAGATTCGGCTTAATTCCTATCGTATTATATTCATTGATAAGACTAATATTGTTTCCAAATGTTCTTTATCTTCCTTTCTGTGTCACGCATGTCTTTTATTGATTCTATTCATATGTCTAATCAATCTATACTCATGTATATAAATGAAGCAAGAAATTTGTGTGATTACCTTGATATGATTATGAGAAGCGAAAATTTGTGCTTGAAACGTGGTCATCAGTAAATATTACTGTATAAAACACGATTGTACAGCTCTTGAAAGTTGTTCATTCGAAAAAAAGATTTTCTTTCCTATTAAGTTGTCTTTTGGTTTGTGATTCAATATGAGAATTTTCCCGTTCAGTATATTGAACATCATATAATACTGCTGGTGATAGTATAACCTCTGACCCCATCATCGATACTAACTAGCTGGATAGTTTTCCAAAAAATATGACTTGATAATTAAGACATGAAAATTGCTGGCACTCGACGTAGATTCTAAGCATTGTGTGAATAACTAGTGCGGAATTATTGTTAGATCTCAAAGAATATATTGTACAGATTCTTATTTCACTTGTAATTTGTATATGTCATCTTACTTCCACTCGTCAGCAAAGCCTATCAAAAATGCTGAAGGGACTAACATCCTCTTGGAGATTTAAACCTACATCAGCCAGTGCTACAGGCAGAGACACTGCTATTAAGCTATTCAGGCGTAATTTGGATGGATTATCCCACTTTGAGAATATACTAATTCTTTTAAGATGTGAGGTGCATACGAAACTGAGGAGAGAAAAAAATTAAGAACCAGAGTTCCAAGGGTTGGTAAGCTTCAGTCCAGAGATTCACAGAATAATCGCAGTAGACTGGAACACAACAGAGATCCTAGTGTCTGGAAATAAAGACTAATATTTGTAAAGGTTCTCAGGATATACAGAGTCATACTGTCTTTGATAGACAAGGGATAATTAGCATATCGAAATTTTCATGAACTAACCAGCATTTCATCAGACTGTATGAAATGTAACCTATGTGGGAAGGAGGTAAGTAGAAATGGGAAGCTTGTAGGCCACCCACCTATGGTCGATTCTCCATAATAAATTTCTATATTCACCTGTAATGATTGGATTTGATAGAAAATTCTATCGCTAATTAAGTTCTCTTGTGTTTTTCTAGTCAATCTGTCAGTCAAACTCTATGCTTTTCATCATGAGCTGACATTGGTTAGAGAACCATTGGAAAACCTGGGAGTACTGGACAGCTGTTTCGTCCAATGTCAGCTCATGATGAAATCCTGTAACCAATCAACCAAATCCCTACAAACCAATACTTGAATATCAATGAGATGCTCACTGGCGACTAGCCCTATTCAGGTAGGTAGTTACCTAGGGTTCCAGTGGGAATTCGTGACCAGTAGGGTGCAGCAGGTTGGGTGTGAGGACAAATACTCGCCGGAGACATTGGGTAGCGGTTGGGCTATATCGTGAATTGGCAGAAATTAGAATCCATAGGTAATTTGATCGGGTCCCAGTGGCTTAATGGTATGCGAGCTCGCCTTGTAACCAGAAGGTCCTGGGTTCGAATCCCGGTGGGTGCGTACTGATGAAGAGTCCCAAACTAGGACGAAACAGCTGTCCAGTACTCCCAGGTTTTCCAATGGTTCTCTAAGCAATGTCAGCTCATGATGAAATCCTGTAACCAATCAACCAAATCCCTACAAACCAATACTCGAATATCTATACTTTTCCTTACTAATACATTGTAACCAGGATACATATTAATTGTTATGTTCAGGAGTAACTTTTATCTATATGAACATGTAGCCAATTTGTGTGTGTGTGTGCAGTTGAATGGAAAATAAGACAAATCATTATCTTGACTAGCGCTGTACCTTAAGTTCAAACGTAACCAGACACAAGCTTTATCGCTCTTGTTTATACATTTTTTCACTTAAAAGAGAATACGTTCAGCTAAGAGTTACTCCTCTTTTCGGTGATATCATTCTCAAGCTGTACAGTCGCATATATACAGTTAATTTTCTTACAACAAAATAAATATTTCTAAGGTTTGTCATTATAATTGTAAAGATTAGTTAACAAATTACGTAATGTAGAAAGCGTTAATCGCGTAGAAACTAAAATAAAATTATTAGAATTGTGATTTTTAGATAACAAATTCCTTTAATTGGTTAGAAACTAAAGTAAGATTAAATAAGCAAGTTTAATGACGCAATCTGATTGACGGGGTTGAGTAGAACTCAGCTAAAATTAAAATTGAGCAAAAGTCAAGTTAACAGCAGTGGTAATAAGGCGTGGGGAAAGAAAATATTATACAATTAAAAAGCAAACAAGTGCGTCAGTGGCACAGCGGTAAGATGCTCGCCAGCCATGCAGGTGGTTCGGGGTTCGATCCCTGGCCAACTCACTCCTTTACCTCACTAAGCCAGTAATAAGATTGGTAAAGAAGGAAGGTTGGGCATGAGGCTAGCAACCCCATCCCGTAAAAATAAACACCACTGCTACCGAAACTTCAAGCCTCTAGCTTGAAGTCCTATGTTCCACTGGGAACGTAAAGGAATAAGAAAAAAAAGAAGCAAACAAGCAAGAAACAGACGAAACAAAAATTCCGTATTTGGTGTTAAGATAGATCAGGTCCACTGTAGATTTAATAACTGAACAAACTTCTTTTGTATTCAGAGTTCAGGTTTTAATATGTGAATTGCCATTGCTTCTGCTTCTGAGGTTTGAAGAAGTTTGATTCGTACTCTTTTAGCAAGATTCCCACGTATTATTCTGTAGATAACTTTGAAGTTACTTTGTGGGTTTGCTTGGTGCTCCGATTCGATCAGGTGTTCCAGGATAGAGCTGTCGGAGGATGTTTTTTCTCCTTCATAAAACCATGACTGTGGGTAAGTGTTCGATGATGCGTTTGAATAGCAAACGCTGGGTACAGCCGACATACCTAGATAGCTCCACACGAGCAGGTGGAGCATATTAAAACTAACATAAAATTGTCTCATATATTTGGATATTGTATGGTAAACATGTCTATGTTTGTATTTTTTAGTTTTAACGCCTTTGTTTGTCTACTTTTTTTTTTTTTCTTGATTTATCTAGTACTTATTCCGTTGTTGTCATGGTGGATCATCTCATAATTGTACAGAACCAGTTATTGCCTGGAATCAGTTGACGCGTTGCATTTACCACTCCACTACAGCATCAGTTTGTACTGACAATCTGAATATACCTAACAATGACTTGGAGGCTATACAACAAACAGAGACATGTAAAGACATACAACCTGCTTAAATGGGATTCTACATTGAACAAACATAATGAATATATATAATATATATATAATCCTTTTATACTGTAAATATCAACCTGACTAAATGATACTTTTATTTTAATCATGCATTTATTTTTACCTACAGATATAATATACTGATATAAATATATATATTATTAAAACATTGTCTTTTGATTTTGATCTCTTTTTCTCTAATCGTGTGAATTTTCAAATCTCTCTCTTCTTTCTTTTTCTTTATCTCCTCGTTCAAATTCACTTGCCTTTTAGATGAATAATACCGGTGTATTTATTATATCTGCACTTCGTAGTCCTATTGGTCGAATGTCTGGTTGTCTATCCGGTTTATCAGCGCATCAATTAGGCGGTCAAGTAATCAATTCTGTATTGGACAAAGCTGTAGAAGGATCGAATGATCCAAAAGAATTAAGGAATTATATCATAGAACACTTGGAAGAAGTTATACTCGGTCAGGTATTGACAACAGCCACAGGGCAGAATCCAGCTAGACAAGCAGCTATATTAGCAGGTATGTTGTATATATGATGTATGCTTGCACAAAAATTGAAATTATATTATGTTTATTTTTAATATTTACGGAGTTGTGATCCTATAGTGTGTTCCAGCTTATATACTACTACTCACTGGTATGAGTCGTTTGGAACCAATTACACCTACGATCAATGCTAGCTGTCGATATTGTGTCATCTTAGCACAGTACGACTGTTGTTTCGTTTCAAGCATGTGAAAATTGTTTCTGCCTATAAAGGCAAATAAGCTGAAACCACTTCACTTTAGGCCAGTTGGAGACTCAGACATGGTATCTATCCAATCGATTGTTTGTGAAATTGACAGTTCAGAGTGGAATTTTATCATTGCTTTATTTAGAAATCAGAATAATTAAGAACAAATTATATGCTCTACACGCTATCGTCAATGATGTCCAGCTGGCAAACATAAACACTATGCTGCATAAATGTTTTTGGTACGATGAAGGTTAGGTTAGGCTAGTTTACTTTCGGCTAGTGAGCGTGTTTTCACACAAAGTACCACAGCTAACAATAAGTTAATAATGCATAATGACGTTTTTATGCTGTAAGTTAGCTATACTTCTGTGATTGTTACTGTCTTATCACTTAAATCAATAAAATACTCATTCCTTACATCTCATGGCTGCTAAGCATGTAGGTAACATTTCCGTGTTCGAGTATCTGTTGTTTCAACACGCTCAACAGACTTTGATGTGGATGTGAAACCTTCTCCATCATGCCTGAAATTATGCACCTAATTTCAGAATTGTTTATGGCAAGGTTTCACCAGAGATAAGTTGCATACTGGAAGCATATATAGATGATTATCTGAAATTCTCTACTTCATATTTCAATTTTTATATGCACGCCTCTGTTATTGTTGTTTGGAATCACTTACCTCATATTAGATCTGTCGTGTGTATGCAATTGCCCAAACTGAAGAAGGTGGGACGGGATTCGAACCCATGACCAATTGGCTGAACATCGAGTGCTTCAACCAATGAGCCATCTCTTCATCTTGAAATATTCTCAGATGCGCGTTTTATTAGCCTCTATCGAGAAAAGAATGTAACCTACCTTCATGCACCGTGGAAGTTTCTACTAGAGCAGAGCGACGAATAACTGTTGCTTATCCTCTAGGCCGGTAGATTCTAAGGTTTCATCTGGGAAAGTTGGGAACCTTGTGTTCCAGATAATTAGTGTATATGACATACGGGTTTATTTTAACGGTCAATAATCATTAGGATTCTTTTACTTCACAACCTTGTCCACTAAATTCCAAATGATGAGTGTAGGAAAGAATCCCCCAAGACTTCTGGTTTAATTTGAGTGTGTTGTCAGTTTCTCAGTCGAGACACAAATTATTATACCACTATCATAATTTCGATAATTTGATTGTAGCTCAGAGGCGGCATTCACTCATGGCTTGAATTATCTTCATTTTATGTTTACTAGTGTACTGCTTTATTACTCCTTTTATCTACGATGTCACTTAGCTTGTTATCGGTGTAGTGTCTATACTGTTTTGAGTCACTGAATATTTGTTTCCTGAAACTTAACTTGGATTCAGATATTCAACACAGCTCTTCTGACACTGTGTATACCACTTAAATTTACCATGTAAAAACTGCTCACTGTGATGCAATCCAATCAGATAGAGAGATATAAGACCCTTAAAGGCTTCCCCACTGGTGTGAGCTAGATCTCAGAGACGCGCATTCTAGATTTTAATGAAGTGTTTAGAATTCTTCCGCCTTACTACAACACGTAAACCACATGTTGTGTGGACTAACTGGGAGATCCTTTTCCGTGGATGTAAAATCTAGTTGGTTTCAGTATCGTGCTAAACGATCATACTGAAGCTGTACCAATGAACTAAGTTGGGAAAGAAGGTTAAATTGACGTAAGAATTGACTAGTGACCAAAGTTATTAAGAATAAATTTCTCCACTAACTGAGTTACATCAAGTAAATACTCTCAACACACCATAATGTTAGCTTGAGATTTGACTGTTCCCGTCAGACGCATAGATTATATCTCCACCAGTTACCGATACCCCGGATGTGTGCACGACTGTCGCTTCCTGTAAAGAATTTTAGATTCATTATGCTTTAGAGCGCATCAGGCAGATATATCTGATTGTATTGCAGTCAATATTTTAAAATTGTTTTATGCTAATTCAGGAATTACTGTTGAGAATGATATTAAAAACCCTACAATTGATTTAAATAGGAGCTTTTATGTTTTATTTCTGTCTCACTGGAAAATTAGTTAAAGGCAGACGCTAATTTCATCTTCACCTAATACTTCAATCTCTTCATGTTAATTACTACCGTGTTTACTAGAATTATTGAATATGTACTCAACGCTAATTTTTACATATCGTTGTGCGTCGGTGGCACAGTGGTTAGGACTCTCGCCGACCATGCACATGGTCCGGGGTTCGATCCCCTGCCGGCGCACACCCGATATCTATGGTCGGCCTGTGAAATTTGGGCTACCGATATCCATGCTGAAAATTCCATACTTCTACCAAAAGTACTGTGTGGAATCAAGCTGTAATCACAAATGAAAAAAAATTAGTTCCATTTAAATACTGAACATCAATTAATATGTTGTTTAATCATATTCTATAGGAATTCCTTATAGTGTACCAGCTTGGGGTGTAAATATGGTGTGTGGATCAGGCTTAAAATCTGTTTGCTTAGCCTTCGATCGATTACACCTTTCTTCTCCCACGGAAGGTGGCTGGATACTAGCTGGTGGACAAGAGTCAATGAGTCAAGCACCTCATGCAACTCCTCCTAGAGCATGTCTACGTCGTGTAGGTGGTCAAAATACTTCAGAACTTCCAAATTATGGAAATTTCACTCTGTTAGATACAATAATGAATGATGCTTTAACAGATGCATTTTGTTATCTTCCTATGGGTGCAACTGCAGAAATTGTCGCCAAAAGGTAAGATAATATGGATCATTCCACCGAACCTTTTTTGTTATTTGATTTCATAAACACTAAATAATAGTGGTGAAAAGGTCATAAAGGAATATTTCATTACTGTTTAAAGTCACACTTTATACGTTGGTCTTGGAAATGCCTAAGAGGACCTGAATCTTGCAAGGTTGGTTTTAGATGTGGAAGTGTTCTTTGAATTGACCGAGTAGTGGTAGGGAACAGAGCCTTCAATGTAAAAAAGAGGGCGAACTAAAAATGTATAGTTTCTAGTATTTAAATTCATATCTGTTTGTTTATTCAACCAGTTATTATTATTATTATTTTCATCGCCATTATTATTCGTGCAATCAGTAGTGACCAGATTGACTCAGCTGAATTTGCTCCCTATTTCTTCCTACAGACTTTTCTAATGTATCTGTCAAATAGTCTCAGATTTTCAATTTTCAGTGTGCTGTTTGCAGTCTAAACAATAACCATAGAGGTGAAATAAATCCTAATTGGTTATAAGAACTAAGTCTCACTTTCACATTCTCTCCTTCAATGGTAACTTGAGTCTGTCATTAAGATTTGTAAAATTTTGTCCTAAACTTCAACAATTATTGTTTGATATATATGTGGTATCTAAGTGGTCAGTGCAAACTCCAAGTTGGATGTGCAGATGAGCATTACTGAAATTTTAAAAAACATGATGGTTTGAAAAACTTTTTAAGCGTATACATTGAAAATAAGGTGCCTTTTTCCAAATATCGAAATATCACAATGTACAGACTGACTAACAAAGGCACACTTAGAATAAATCAGTGCCCACATCTGCTTTACCATTGTTGTTGAGAAACAAGAAAGCTTGGAGTTTAATCGTCATAGCATAATTAGTAAAGCGATAGTAGCTTTCTATGGAATTGATGACATTCACCAAATTTAAGAAGCTCTTCTGTAATCTATTCTAGTCTTTTTATTCCTTTGGGTTCCGAGTGAAAAATATGGCGTCAAGCTAGAGCTTTGAAGTTTCAGTAGCAGTGGTGTTTCTCGCCTCACGCCCAACCTTCTCTCTTTACCGGAGTTGCGATTAGCTAAGCGAGATTAAGGTGTAGTGCGTCGTCTGGAGATCGAACCCTGGACCACGTCTCGCTTGGTTGGCGAGTGTTCTACCATATTCGACAACCAACACACTTAGTCATTTCTAGAAACAGAACTAATTGGTAGTTGTTGGTTTAAAGCTTTGTAGGGAACTATAGGCTTTCTGATTTTTACGGTAGTAGATAGCTAAAACCGATAGATAGGTACTTTGAAGGATTGACATTAAATCACTTGTGAGTTATATCATTACTCTGTTTAAAATCTTGAGAACATAATTTTCATTTATAAGTATTTGAATCAAAAATCAAGGCAGCCCAAGGTACCAACAGTTCCTCAAAAGGCCTTATTCTTACAAATTCAATTCCTCTGGGATAACATCAGCGAGATACTAGCTAACACAACGCCTCGAGAATGTGATAAAAAGAGCATTCCCTGCTGCTGAATTACGCAGTGTCTTCAAAACCACCCCTATTTTGCGTCCACGAGTTAAAGATAAACTGCCTAATTTCGCCTCTTCTATGTGTATCTACTAATTTGACTGCTCTTGTGGAGTGAGCCAGTTACTTGCATAGGCCGTACAATTAGACGTGTTTCTCGTTGGATTTCTGAACATCACCCTACGCGGTTAAGTAAAGGACAAACAAAATCCGTTCGCAACGCTATTCTATCTCATCTTGTGGACACAGAACACAAGATTGATGTTAACGAGGCGGCTTTCAAAATCATTTACCTCATACCAACAAATCTTAACTTCGCCTCAAGAGTTAGTCTACTACATATTGCTGAGACTGGCTGTTGGCGTCCACATTACAAAGCCTAATTTATGCATCCAAAAGAAATTAGTTCAGACATTATCATTACCTTGGCCATCTAGGTTTGAATGATCCTCATTTTTTGTAGAAATTTCCCTAATTTTAGTTGATATTCTATTCGCTACTATATCTTTATTATTGTAATAATTTAAGCATCTTTAATGAACTGTAATTGCATTGATCATACTTTACAAATCGATATTATTTAAAAAACGCTAATATTGTTATTGACTACTAATTTAGAATATTCTGTGTATATAAACATACATATATATAATTGTAGAGCCAGAAGAGGAAATTATCGAAAAGGATATTCTTTGCTCAATTATTTTGTTTTTTATAGATGTCTGAATGAATATTTTCGCTATACTTTTTGTTTCACTTTAATAATAAAAGTTACAGTAATTACTTTATTCGAAACAGTAATAATTATACAGAATAGAATTTTGATCATTGTACGTGTTGAAACAATTTATATCTCCTTTTACAAATTAAATAAATAACATATGTAATAATAATTTTGGTAACAAATTACCAGTACTCCCAAGTTTCCCAATGCTTCTCTAACCTATATCAGCTCATGATGAAATCCTCTAACCAATTAAACAAAAACCAATACTTGAAAATTGACCTGATGCTCACTAGTGACTGGCTTTATTCAGGCAGTTACCTGGGGTTCTAGGGGGAAGCCGTGACCAGTAGGGTACAGCAGGTCGAAGGTGAGGACAGTCACTCATCGAAGAAGACATTGCTAAGTGGTCACGCTATGTCGTGAATTGGCGGAAGTTAGAATTCTTGGGCTATTGGATCGGGTCCTAGAAGGTCCTGGGTTCGAACCCTGGTGGTGGGTTCGTACTGATGAAGAGTCCCAAACTAGGACGAAACAGCTGTCCACTACTCCCGGGTTTTCCAATAGTTCTGTAACCGATGTCAGCCTATGATAAAATCCTCCAACCAATCAAACAAAATCCCTACAAAACCAGTACTTGAAAAAACAGATTACTGTTTATTTATAGGTTGTAAAATAGGTGGTGTATAAGCTCTTTTCCAACATTTGTCTCTTCACACAACCAACACCCGTGCTAAATATGGTATTGTTGAGTTTTTGTGTTTAGCTGTGCGAGCATAAATCTTTATGAAAAATTCTGGTTTTACCCGAAAAGATACAAGGAGAAAGTTGCGAATAACTAAGAGGATGTTCAGTTTCGTACATGATGATTTTAGCCATTTGCGCTTACAAGATTTAAAATGCCTGTAAATAACAATGTCGGTTAGTTGGGTCAAAGACAAGTATAGCATAGTCCTTTTTTAGAAACCCAGGGAATAATAAGAGGAGGGGGCACCATAAAGAAGGATGGGTAGAATACATGAACTAATAAATTGTAGGAGAAGAGGTTGATTTATGACAAAAAGTCCCCGAATTCCTTGTCTAACAAGTGAAACGAACGATTTTCTTAGAAATCATATAGATATGAAACCACCAACAAAGATTATAAGGGAAACAGATTGCAAGATAGAGAATATCCGGTTTAATTCCCAGGATACTGCCGTCGATAATAAAAGAATCATCGAACTGAATTAGTTTCTGCAAGTTTTGTTCAAGCCTGAAGGTAAAATTAACAGTTTGACATTTACAGGGACCATTGAAATAAGATCATTGGTTAACTTCAGACAAGAAACTCTTCATATTAGAACAATCTATTGCACACAAAAGAAGCTGTGGTGAATTTTCCCAGATTATCAACATATTTACTGAAATTGTCTGTAAAAGAATACGGTTAGTCGTCATCAAAAAAGAAAGAAAAAAGAAATGGAGAAAGTACAACACCTTGAGGCACACCAGATTCCCCGTAAGTAAAGAAGTGGAGCTCTTCCTACTAAAAACAGTGTGTTGCAGTGCCTGCTGAAGTCAGCTTGCGTAACAGAAGTCCCGTAGGAACAGAGTCAAAAGCAGCAGTGTAGTCTAAAAAGGCAGATCGAACAGACTTCACACTTTTATCTAGACTGCAAACAATATTGTGGTGCAGTACATTGGCAGCATCTAAAGTGCTTCTACTGTTAGTCTTATTGGCTGTCTATCAGCGTGATGATAGTGAGTGTGGTATTTAGCCTTCGTGAATAACTGCATTTGCATTTATAGTCTCTTTTAGTTTAATAGGCATCATCGTGATTATCACAACTTGATAAACATGTTCATCATATCTCTTTATAGTACACTTTATAAGTACATTTTTCATAAATTTTTATCGTTATAATCTTCAAGTGATATATACTAACCTTGTTCAATATTTCATTATTTGTTAAAGATATGGAATTAGCCGAGAAGAACAAGATCTGTTCGCTTTAAGATCACAGGAGAAGTATGCAGCTGCTTTCAAAGCTGGTCATTTCGTTAATGAAATAACACCAATTAACGTAAGCAGAGTTAATTGTTTTTGTTTTTTTGATCTTATAAACTATATAAATCACGTTTGACCTTTTTGATTGTCTATGTGTCTGTATTATTATTATTATTTTGTAGGTTCCAGGTATAGGTAAAGACGAATCAAAAATTGTTTCCACTGATGAACATCCACGACCTGATACTACTTTAGCAAAATTATCGAAATTACGACCAGCATTTCAAGGGGATTCAACTGGTGGAACAGTTACAGCGGGTAATACCAGTGGAGTTAATGATGGTGCAGCAGTAGTATTACTTTGCCGTGGTGATCAATTATCAAAGCTGGGTAAGCAAGTAATAATAATTACCATTACTATTTTACCGATATTGTATATTTCATAAATACTTTTAATGCACACCGGCTTACTGACGAAATCACTTCCACTGGGCGCACACATAATTTTCCTTCCCTGAATCCAGCTTGTTCTTGGCGGAATTTGACATCTAAAACATCTTTTCGTCTCTCTAGGATGATCCGACCTAATAATTTGATTGGAGAATGATGCTCAGGAAGGCTTTGTGTGCTTTTGGAAGTGTGTGGGCGGTTGTTACTTCCCGGTTGCCCACACCGTGGAAGTTGATTGATTCTTCGGGTACCTGAAACAGAAAGTGGGTTTAGTGTTGTGTGATCTCAGAGCCCAGGGGACAACTGCTTGAGGCCGGTCACACGGCCTGTATGACCTGGTTTCTTGAATTGGTTCCGTATTAATAAATTTACCGCCGGTTACGGACCACCGTAGGGTAAGTCGGTATGTACAATTGTTGGGGTCGACCTTTTTCTAACCCCCTTTCTCCAGAGTGGATAGACAGCATAATTGGCATGCTGTTCATCTAAGTGAAACACTTCACTGCTGTTACATCCGTGTTCCCCAGCATAGTGTAAGAAAATCCTACACTATACTATGCCGGTAACTGATTTTAGTCTAATCACTATCCTAAAAACCTTCCTGGCATGGTAGGACCTGCAGGAACAATAGTTCCAGCCAGTGTAGTTTGTTGGGTCATTGCGATATACAAGCCTGACCACCACGTCAAGGTAGCAGCTGTCGGTCGAGTGTTAGGTAAGGAAGGGAAATCAATAGACGAGGCTTTGAATTTACACCGATTGAGATAGTTAGGACTTGTGGCACGTATGCCTAGCCATCTCCTTCCTCGACGGGCAATGTTACCTGACATAGGATCAGGTTGGTAAAGAGCCAGTGGTGGTCAAACGAAAACATGGCTGCATCAGTCAATGAAATCCACAACAGTTAGTTTAAGCCACGTAGGAAGGTGTAGACTTTGCATCGTGTCTCTGATTACTGTCTCTGTTTTGCATTTCTTTTTACTGTCTACTCTTACTTTGTGTGCTAAGTGAAGTGTGGCAACTCGAACTGCTACACATTTGTGCAAAGTTCTATGTTGAAACCAGTCATTTTGCTTGGGGTGGACAGGAGCATGATTCTACGCCAGTCCTTGCAAAGGCTTAGGTCACCCTTCGCTAGAGGTTGACAAGGTAGCCGTCTTTCTAATCAAGAGGAACCTTGCCTTCCGTTCAAACCTTCTGCAATAGTATTGTGAGCATAAATGCTTATGGAAAATGGAGGAGATGATATTACAAAAATAACATGAGAAACAAATAAGCATATTTAGGGAGGGGGTACCTTCATCACTTTCCCTTCATTTCACTATTGAAAGAAACAATACAGCTACCGTATGAATAATGGTGAATTTGTTTGCAAACCGTTTGTGATTACTTTACTGGTTCCTTAGTTGCATAGTCTCGTGGACAGCGCTCAGAGAATCGTAGTGCACTATTCTCAATTAATGTATTTAATTTTCCAACGTTTATTTTGTCAATATTTCTCTTTAATTTACTTCGCAGGTGATCGCCGTCCACTTGCGCGTATTGTTGGTTGGCACCAAGCTGGTCTAGAGCCAGAATTAATGGGTCTTGGCCCTATCTTTGCTATTCGAGGATTATTATCTAAGATTGGTTGGAAGATTGAAACTGTTGATGTCTTCGAAATTAATGAAGCATTTGCTTCTCAGTGTATTGCTGTAAGTTCTTTTTTTAAACTTTCTTCGTTACCTTGTGCTATATGCTGTATAAAGGGGTATAGTGCCATTTTGTCCTTACTGTCTCTCCTGGCTTAAGCACTTGGCTTTCAACCAATAAGTCCTGGGTTCGAGTCCCACGCTACCTACCTCAGCCTCACAAAATAGGTATAGCTCGTAGTCCAGCACAGCATAATAATCATTCAGTGTTACATCTACTACATTTTCGAAGTAGTTTTCACCACCAATCAGAATCAGTTATGAGATGATTGGAAATGTAGTATCTGAATTTTGATGTTCTCACCTCAAGCTCTGATAGTCTTTGGCATGATCCTTTATGTATGCATTAATCAGTAATAATATCTGATGAATAGTTTTCATTTAGATCAAAACTGCTATCCATTGTTTCTTGGTTGTGTAATGGATATGGTAAACCGATAGGGTACATCTAACCGCTCAAATGAATCGACAGACTTCGCAAATCTCTTCTGTGTAGACAAATAAGCTCTTTTAGGAATTGAGAAAAATCAACCTTGAAGATCCCCAGTGGTGTCATGAGTGTGTGTGTGTGCGTGTTACTGAAATGTCATAAACTTACACGGAATGTCTACTCAGTACTTTCTGGTTTTGTACGAATTCTGTCCCACCCACTCCAGTCTAGGTAACTGATTAGTGTCACTAACTATCACCTGAATGATCTGTTCTGGGTAAATCGACTCAAATAAATAAATAAAACGGATGATAATAATGTTGTATCTGCAAATATTACTCACTAAGCACTTCGAAGTGCGTCGGTGGCATAGCGGTTAGGACGCTCGCCGACCATGCGCATGGTCCGGGGTTCGATCCCCGGTCGACACACTCCTTTACCTCGCTAAGCCAGAAATAATGCTGGTGAAGAGGAAAAGTTGGGCATGAGGCTAGCAACCCCATCCCGTAAAATAAACACTGCTACAGAAACTTCAAGCCACTAGCTTGAAGCCCTATGTTCCACTGGGGAACGTGAAGGAGAAAAAAAGGCATTCGAATATTATATGAAAGAAAAAAAATATTTATCCGGAAGTTAAGTTTGTAGAATCTTGATTAGTTAGTGGAATTAGGTTTAAAATCCAGTTTTGTTGATATTGGTATTCAAGAGTTCTAATAACTAAAACGTACGTATCTTTGCATGTGATTAAGGAACAAAAGTAATTTGTTTTTTTTTCAACTGGAAGTGTTTTCTTTCGATAATTTTATTATCGATCTACACAGTTATACTTACAGTTAGTATAAATTCATTTGATTACGATTTTAAATTATTTAAAATAATCCCAGAGTGCTTAGGCAAAAATCAAAACAAGATTTTTCTGGACGTTTCGCTGTGGTGGAAGCCATAGCTTCTTCAGCAGAATTATTCGGATTTTATTAATCAGCAAAATATAAAGTCAAAAATTTTACATAAATTGACAAGTTTTAGTTGTCATCCTAGAATATGGTACAGATAAGTAGATGACATATTTATCATCATTAAGAAAGGTGGAAAAGAAAACTTTCTAACACAGATTAACTTCAAAGAGGACTTGCTTCATATTATATCAATGTCTATTTCAAGCCCTCGTATTCTCTAGAAAAAGCTTTGGTAAATATCAAAGATATGGTTCCCAAAATGTCTATAGGATAAAGTGTTCAGAATGTGAAGCTTGCTATGTAGTGTAGAGCAGTAGACAGGTGAAGGTCAGAGTGAATGAACATACACTGTGCACGAAACGTCCACCTAGAAATGAACTAGAATTAAAAAGTCTAGAGAAAAGATCAGCTATAGCAATGCATGCGATAGACAGCGGACATAAGATTGATTTCGACAATGTCGAAATTCTAGGAAGAGGCTTTCATTCACATAGAGAAAGGTTGACCTCTGAAGCCTTGCACATTTTAACCACATCGAATGCAGTGAATAGAAGGGATAAACTTATCACCTATATGGAAGACTCTAATGAAGTAAGACAGATTAGAAAACAACAAAAACCTCTATGAGTGCCCGTGAATTTTATAAAAATATTATCATGTTTATCACATGTGAATTGACGTATTTTCCATATGACAAATAACATGCACTCGCACACACTCATACAGACAAAATGCACAATGGCATTTCGACTTTATTCATTACAAATATATGATAACTGCTTACATATTTCCATTGATACAAATGTCTATCGATAAGTGACATTCAAAGGAACTAACTTCAATTTATGCCAAAAAATATTTGACTGTATATTTTGATGGTTAATAAAATTGGAATAATTCTGCTGAAGAAGCTGTGGCTTTCACAGCGAAACGTTCAGAAAAATCTTGTTTTGATTTTTTCTTAAACAGCTGGGATTATTTATAATGATTCAGTCTGACTCGGAGTTCGTATTATTCCAGGAAATTCACAACATCTACGGTCTGGAAACTTATAATCGGTAAATTTAGGATGTCGGTAAAATTAGGATTAGTTAAGTACCTGACTAACTGTACAATGATTCCAAATAATACACGAGAAAGCCTTAATAATGAAACGAGACAGATAGAGGAAGTATTGGTACTCAATACCTATCCTATTATATCCATTAGGAAGTTCAGAAAAGTCGATAACAAACGAAAAATTGTAGTGAATTTACTTTGTATAGCATAAAATAGAATTTTTTAAAAATTTAAAAAGTGTAAATTTGAATTTTAAAAATTCAACTAGACCTGAAATGGTTTACCCTGCTAAGTTAAATAACATAGAAAAAAGCTCAGCCATTGCACTGCATTCACTTGCATGTAATCACAAAATAAGGTGGGACAAGGTGAGAGTATTAAAAAGTAATATAGTTAGGTGGAGAGAGAGAGAGAGGTTAATCACTGGAGCTTTGTTTATCGATTCAACACCTCACACGTGCAATCGGAATGATGCAACGCCTATACCGGAGATATGGAAAGTGGTAACAAACAACAAAGGAAAGTTGAAGAGACAGAATAGAGAGAAAACACATAAGATAAATTGTGAAGGCGTGTGACTAAAATTGATATGATTATGAGTGGCAGTAATTTATGCGCGAAACGTCATCCACTTGTTAATACTGCATTATCACTGTGTGATATTTAACATAAACTTATCTAATGTAGAACATAAAGCATCCACGGTGTTGTCATACAGAGAAGGCACCCTAGAAACCCTATGTAGAATTCTCAATACAGCAGGAATTCAGGTGGCATTCAAACGTACAGTCTCTCCAGGCTAAAATACCTTATATTATTATTATTCCCTTGGGTTCCTAGTGGAACATAGGGCTTCAATTGCACGTCTCCACTTGCTTCTGTCTTCTGCTGTACTTTTCACTTGCATCCATGTTAATCCATACTGTTTCAACTCCTCTTCACACGATCTCCTCCATGTCACCCTTGGACGTCCCACTCGCCGCTTCCCTTTCGGGTTCCACTCGAGCATTGGCCTGACGCGCGATGTCACCCAGCGGCCTCCTGAGCGAGTGTCCGATCCATCTCCACTTTCTCCTGCATATTTGTTGGGCGATTCGTTTTGTTTTGTTTCTTCCCATAGTTTTTTGTTGGTGATTCTTTCCGGCCATCTGATCTTGAGTATAGAACGAAGACAGCTGTTGATAAAGGTCTGCAACAGGCTGTTGGAAATATTCTTTGTGACCCTCCAAGTTTCTGATCCGTATAGAAGAAGTGACTTGACGTTTGTATTGAAAATCCGAATTTTGTTGTTGATGTTGAGTGACGAAGATTTCCAGATTGGTTTCAGGTTGATGAATGTGTTTCTCGCCTTTCCGATTCTCGATTTGACATCTTCGTCCATTCCTCCTGTAGTTGAAACAATGCTCCCTAGATAAGTGAATGAAGTAACCTCTAAATACCTTATATGACCCGGTTAAAAAAAATAACTTGATCCATAAATTATCTTGCAATAACGCTGAGATCAACTGCGTAGTTCAGTGCAGTACAGTGGAGACAGCTAATCTGAACATAGGAGTCTAGCCAATTGTAGAATGAATAACCACAGATAGATGATGACCAGCTTAGAGAAAAACTCATCAAACACAATGCTTGCGCTGTTACACTAGCGTACAATAGGGTGAGACAGAGCTACGATTCTAATAAGTAATATTAGGGTAGATGAAGGGACAGTGTTTGATCATTAAATCTTTGTTCATCGAATCTACACCAAACATTTGCAATGGGAATGACTCAGCACCAACATCAGAGATATGAAGAATTTTATTACCAATGAAATCGAAGGATAATAAATATAATGTAAATGTTTACACACAATTTGAAGGTTATGTAAGTAAGTGCCTTGATATGAGATCATGAGGAATAAATTGTGCTTGAGACGTCATCAGTAAACAATACTGTATTACTCACTGTGTAGAACTTATTAAATAAAATTATTCGATAATGGAAGTATGTCACATGAGGTATGAAATCAAATCAAACAAAACATGAGAAGAATGATGAAAACGGAAGTTGAAATAAAAATTTACTTAAAGTAGTAGTTTTATATATAGATGGAGTAGAAAATAAAAAAACTTCTATGAGATTTCTTTTCAACGAAAAGTTTGAAGTTTAGATCATGTTTAACTAACGCCTCAAATATGCATAAGAGATAAGAAAATAGATCTTCAGGGTATTGCGAATAGGTGCTCTTTTGTTATTTGTAAGAAATAAGATAATTTGATTGTATAATTCCAACTGTGACCATGGATTGATGTTAGATAGAGAACTATTGAAAACTAGAGTGTACTGTACTGGACAGCTGTTTCGTCCTAGTTTGGAACTCATCAACAGTACGCACCCACTGGGGTTCGAACCCAAGACCTTCTGGTTAACATGGCAATCTCATAGACCCAACTCAATTCCCCATGAATTCTAACTCTTACCAACTCGTGATTTTAGCGTGACTAGCGCCAGCCAATGTCATCGGCGAGTATTTGTCCTCACTCCCAACCGGGTGGACCCTACTGGTCACGACTTTTCGCTAGAATTGTAGGCAACTTCGTCCTGTATTCAGTTGCTGGCTAGCATTAGATTAATTTTGAAGAGTTAGTTTGTACGTATGTGGTTTGTTTCAAGTTTGACCACATAGCCCTGGTTGGAGCATACTGAAGATGTATCTTAAAATAGGACGAAACAGCTGTCCAGTACTCCCTAGTTTTCAACGGTTCTCTAAATGATATCAGTCCATGGTCAAACTTGAAGTGAAGCAATTTCCTACAGACTAACACTTGAAAATTAGTGTGTTTAAGCTTAATGAATCTCTCATATTCCCTTCCGTTTGATTTAACCTGTTAAACATTACTAGTCAAATTATGCTGTAAGATTTTAACAGGTGGAATTCACGATTGTAATTTATCTGTGTTCATTGCTGTTGACTTCCTTCATCGAAACATTAAGACTTTTTAAAGACTTATCATTATTGTGACTATTATTACTCATACTCCTCTGAAGTCCTGTGTTCCACTTAGTCCTATCAAAATTCCTTCTACAAAATTAAACGTGTAGGCATATTTTTCACTTTATTTTAATCCCCTACTTTCCCAATGAGACATAAGGCTTCAAGCTAGAACTTTGAAGTTTCGATAGCAGTTGTTTCTTTTACAGGGTGGAGTTGCTAGCTTCATGCCCAGCCTTCCCTCTTTGCCTGCCTTACTTATCGGCTTAGCGAAGTTTAGGAGTGCGTAGGCTGAGGGGCGAACCCCACACCACGTGCGTGGTTGGAGAGCGTTCTACTGCAGAATCACTGACACACATAGTGCTTGGCTCGAAGCCTTGCCGAGACTCGAACTTGGGTCTCTGGTTTCAGAGCCAATAGTGTTAACCGCTATACCACGAGGCCTATGTAGACATAAGTGTATGTTAAATTATGCAACAAAATAATTATTATAGGGATGCCTCTGAAAAAGAAATAACAAAGAAAATACCTATTTGCTTCTGTGAAATAACTGCGTAACGAGAGAAAACATGAGTACTATGGCAACGGAATTACTCATTGGTAACTCAGTGTACAGATATAGGCAAAATACGCCTGCCATATTTTAGAATCTCAATTTGCACATATCTTCGGTATTCTGCTATTTTGGTCCGTACTGTGCTTCTTTGTCTTGCTTCAGTGTTTCGCATGTTCATTTCTTCTCTTCACCATTAAATGCATCTCTCCGCTATTCGGTATTCTTGCAGATGATGTACATATTCATATCTGTATCCATATACTACTTATATATCTTCTCAATGGCATCCGCTATAACTCTCTCAATTTTTATTTATCATCCGTATAAATTCACTTAGTTCCGATCGTATTTTATGCTAGCCAAATTAATTTAATCTGATTACATCATAGTTCATTAGTCAGCGTCGAGTGTAATTTCAGACTTTTTGGACTTATAGATTGCGTGTTAGTGTGACTATTTTTATTGTGTCCGTTTGAAAAAGTTGTTCTTTCTAACTGCTCACTTGTCAATTAGTTGTTTTATTATTTTCAACTTTGTTCTTTGTTTAATTCGTGTATTCGAACACAGTTACGCAGAATAATTCTTTCATGGACCAGAAGAGCTGTGATGATACTATTCAGACTTATGTGTAGGTGGAACGGGATTTGAATGTGTGATCAATTGGCTGAAGCCGATGAAACCAACCACACATCTCAAAACGGCAAATAGCTTATAATTTTGATTCATATATGTGCTGTAATAACAAATTATATTATGCTCTGTATTTAAGTGGATTAACATAACTCTGAACTAATTACTGTGACTTCACACTGTACGACAAGTGTACTAACAATTCCTTCATGTAGCAGTATGATGATTTATCACTGACACTCATATGTATATTTAGAACAACACATGTGTAAGCGAACAATATTGTTTTCAATTAAATCTCATCAGGCTTAACTCTAATATACATAACTTTACAGATAAAAATTCAAGTATAAACAAATCATGGTGTTTTGTCAATAGGATAATAAAATTGTGCAATTAGTCAAAAACAATCTGTAGCTCAATTTTGTCACATTTAATTGATATGATAGTGGTCATGTAGCGGAGAAAACGAGAGCTTTCAAAGTAATTCATCGTATCCCACCGAATCTTTCCAATAAACTTCGTATTCGTCTGCTGCACACAGTTGAGGCGATAGGCATTCAAAAGAAGTTCGTACAGCCATTATCCCTTCCTTGGCCTATTAAGACATAATCAACTGATGACTTCTACACCATCCCTTACTTATACTTTCAACGCCTCTCTTATCATCCCTTAATCTTATCACATCTTCATTAAAAACGTATTTCATTTACCCTTCTTACAATTTAGCATAACTTAATCGGTTCATTTGTTTTTCTTAGCCTTTATTGACTATTACGTCTACCTGAACATTTGTTTGTTTAATCATGCGGTTTTCCGTTATTCGTGTTATCACAGATCGCCTCACTTTTCATCCTTATTATTGATAGAACCATTATTATTATCATTACTACTATTATGACTAATTGCACAATTTATATTCACCATCTTATTATCCTATAGACAAAACACCATGATTGGTTTATATTTGAATTTTTATTTGTAAAGTTATATGTATTAGAGTTAAGTCTGATGAGATCACCGAAGAAGACATTGCGAAGTGGTGTCGCTAAGTCATGAATTGGCAGAAGTTAGAATTTATGGGCCATTGGATTGAGTTCCAGTGGCTTAATGGTCTACGAGTTCGCTAACCTTGTAACCAGAAGGTCGTGGGTTCAAACCCTGGGGGTGGGTGCGTACTGATGAAGAGTCCCAAACTAGGACGGAAGAAGCAGTTGTCTGGCAGTACTCCCTGCAGGTTTTCTAATGGTTCTCTAACTGATGTCAGCTCATGATGAAATCCTCCAACCAATGAAAACAATATTGTTCGCTTAAATGTGTTGTTCTAAATTTTACTATGGGAATATTTAATATGTTTATATACATTCACATACTATAACGTACAATGGCGGTGAGAGATAATTATGAAATTCATTGAAGCTAATTAGCTAACAAACAAATAACTTATTTTACAGCTAACTGACTTACGTCTGGTTGACAAATTATTTGTCAACAAAACTATTGTAAGAATTCATGGTTTAAACTGACCGACAAACCAAGCAACCATCAATCAATATTATCCTCCATTCTTCCTCCTGACCTAACTAACTGACTATAGGCACCGCTACTTTTGAAAGTTTATCTTAAAGCTAATCAATAATTAGCACATACTTATTGTTCAGTTGTATATGATTAGAAACAAAATACCTAAAATTCAAAGCTTATGCTTAATACTATAGAATATAATCATTTTTCTAAAAAAACAAAATTGTTTTAATAATGCTAACGAAGTAATTTATCGTAACATATTCTGTTGTCGGATTTCTTTTAAACATAATTTTTAAAAAATGACTTCTTTTTTTAAACGAAAAGAAGGTATACTACATGAACTAAATTATTTTTACACTGATTTTTCTTTTTGTTTATTTTCTTTTTCAGATTGCTACTGAGTTATGTATATTACCAGAGAAATTGAATGTCTCCGGTGGTGCAATCGCTTTAGGCCATCCAGTTGGATGTAGTGGAGCACGTATCTTGGTCACACTAGCGCATACACTACAACGTATTGGTAAACAGCAGCAACAACAACAACAAAATGGTGGTGATGAATCTACTGTTCGACGTGGTGTAGCTGCTTTATGTATAGGCGGTGGCATGGGTATTGCAGTTGCCATAGAAACATGCATCTAGTGTGATAGAAAGAGGATATAAATATATGACTATAAGATAAAATCAACATTCCTTTACTATTTTTTTTTCTGATTTTCTTAGTGTTTAATTATCTTTTAGTGGTTCGCTCTCTTTTTTGTGATAATTTATATATATATATATATATATATATATATATATAATTCATTATGGTGATAATAGCGTGCCTGGTTCACTTATTCAACAAACTAAAGAATGTGCCTTAACTACACCGGTTTCTTTTTTTTGATTCTCAAAGAACAAAGATTTACTCTAGTTTCATCAAACGAATTCATTACCTTACTTGACAATGTTAATTAACTGAAAACTAATAATAAAGTAGATTTCATTCAACTGGGGTTTGTCTTTTGTTCTTAATCATTTTTTTTTCTGTTTTTGGTACATTTTTTTTACACTGTGTATGTATGTGTTGCATAGAGATTGTATGTTTTGAGAAATTGATGTTTCATTTTCAAAGAAAACTGTGTACAAAGAAGAATTTGTTGTGGACAGTTGAGAGTAAACTATGCGACTGTCCTCTTGACACATTTCTAAAACCTAGACACTAAGGGTAAACGCGCGATTTTTTTAAAGATATTTGTCTTACTTCATTCCGGATAACTGTGTATTTGTCTGCTATTATATGTTTAATATCTGAACTTGTATTGAGTTCCTGAAATTGCACTGTACTCTAAGAAATTCAAATAACTGGCCTTTTGTTAAATAAGCTTTCTCTTACACAAACTGAGTCCTGGGCTGTTCACTCGTTGCATTCTTATTTCCTCTAATAGAATGCAGTGTGCTGTGTATCAGGGTGAATCTTCTTTTGCCTTGCTTACTGAAGCTGGTGTTCCTCAGTATGCTGCTGTTCTCTCTCCTTTTCTTTTTTTTCATTCTTCTTATATGACTTACATCTTTCGAATGAAATCAACTTCGTCAAATATGCTGGCGATCTGACTTTCTCGCTTCCTGTGAAGTCCCAGTTAGACTGTTGTAAACTTATTTTGCTTTTTGTGGGACATCAGTCAGTAGTCTAAGCTAAATGGTCTTACCTTAAATCCCTCAAATTGCTAGACTATTGACTTCTCCTTTGGACGTAAATGTGATCTACAACGACCGGTTAGTACACACGATGCTTGTAGCATAAAGGAGATTGTAATAGAAACTAAGTTTAACACAAAATACCTTGATGCAGTTCTGTCCTCTGATCTTACTTTGTCAATCTCCAAGAAAATGCTTTGTCTAAGCTGTTGCATTAAGAAGCTAAGACAATCTGGAATCATTCAACCTCTACTTTTACAGTTTGCTAACTCGTGTATCTTACCTATTGTACTTTACTAATCCCCCTTAGTCTTTTCTGGTTTACTGAAAAAGGACTATGTCACTTTGAGAAGGTTATTAAAAGTTTTCAGTAGGGTAAGTGGTGTACAACTTAGTCGGCTTGTTACTACATTAGTTGACAGACATCTGTACTCATGCGACAAATGGTCTAAATCCATATTGTCTGACCCTCTACACCCTCTCTATTTTCAATTCTCCTCTTATATCTCATATGGTAGAACTACAAGTCAGTACAAAAGATTATATGCTCATACTACCAAGTATAGGAAATCAACGATGCCATATTTGGCCCGTGTTCTATGTGATAGAGACAATGTAAAGCGTGAAACTTATAAATTACTGTATTGTTGGCTAAATAATTTGCCCTTTTATTATCTCCTATTTGTAATCTATATATGACTTCACTGTCACTACAAACACCAAATAAGAACTGCCATTAACAATCCTGTAATATTATTCTTAAAATTGTTTTTAATGTTATTCGATAAAATTAGACGCATTATTGTACCAAATGCAGAAAATTCCACACTGTATCATTAGTACTGTTTTGGAATAAAGCAAATTATTATTATTGTAGTCTAGAGCATCAAATGACTGAATATAGATTGAGTCCTATATATCTGTCAGGAAGGGACTACTTAACGGCTATAAAACTGGGCCTTTGATGTTTGTGTGTGTGTGTGTCAGATCTCCTCATTTTTGTGTATTATTTTTAAGCAACGTGACTGACTTGCCAACAGCAATAAGATAGCATAATCTCTTTTTTTGTTTAAACTTTTGCATTTCATAGGACAAATAAATTGCTTGTTTTTACGTCTTAGTTATGGAGGGTGAAGAACGACCTCATAATTCTACAGTACCTTGTGAACGTATTTTTATCCAACGTGATTATTCTTCTGGTACAGCCGTACGTTTTCAAACTCTACCTATGCCACTTCAACTTCGAGGTCGCGTAAGTTTACTTTAGCAAATGAATGTGTGTTTTTTTTATCGTTGTGGCGGGTTGGTGGTGCATTTTTAGATTTTAAAGCATAACAACAGCTAATGTTATGTATCCACTTACTTTTTATGATGAATTTTCTTCCATTGTATTTTTCAGATTCCCGCCAATAAATATGCTGATGCAATAACTCGTTTAAACAAATTATTTGATGAAGCTGAAACAATAACATCTACTGTGTGTTTAGAAAATTTATTTGGATGTTTAACAGCTTATCTGATATTTTTATGCATGAAGACACATTATGATAAGGTTAGTTTTTTTTAAAATTTATTTATATATTGATGATATAAATGACTTTTTACGTAAGATTTTTATCTGTTTTCTAAGTGTTATGTATCGGTTTACCGATATATGGTTCCAGATACTGTATGCTTACCTGCAAAGCTCTTAAGAATACCGAGAAAGTACGCAAAAAACTGACTGAGTCTATCCTGGTGAACCAATTGGACCCAACCCGTTGTGTAATAATCTTTGTGGGCAGTCGATAAATTTTCAGACCAGTTAATGTCTAATATGAGTCATGCTATCAATGTTTAACGAAGTAGTAAAAATATATTAGTGTAGCCTAATGCAGACTGATAGGAAGCGGCTAAAACTGAAATCAATATATTAAATCAATAGCTGAGGAAGTAGAAATGTTTATTCATGCAACCTGGATTATTCAGTTTACGTTGTGGACATGAAATAACCTCATTGGACAACTTGTTTAATCTTGGGCCAATTACCAACCAATGAGAACTATTTATTCTCCTCTATCCTAGCCATACTTTAATGTGGCTGAAAATGTATCCATATGATGTGGCTGTTCCTTAATAAAGGTCCGTTACCAAGTCTTTTATCTTCTCCTGTTACACTAGCAAGTGGGGAAGTAATCAGTAGACCTTTAACTCAATACATTGTTGTTTTAACTACATAATGAATGTCTCCTTTTTGATAGTCAATCTCTTTACGGATGAACAAAGACTAGTAGTAGCTATGAGGTCAATGCACAGATGAGGATATCAAAACCAGGACCATAAAATCAAGGCGGACTTTCATTACTCTGAAGTCAGTATGGAAATTTGCTGTACTCAGCACAAGATCCGAATTTTCAAAAGCATTTTTACCAAGCCACTGCAGACTTTCCTCAACAGTGTGCTTCGGTCAAATGGCCCGCAGTAAACGATAAGCACCAATGAACTCTGGCAACCAAGAATCTGGAAGTGGTTTGGAAATGAGCAAAAAAACATTGAATAGCATCACATGGCAGGGTATAGAGTGGGACCTGAGTGTAAAGGGATGATTTGGGTGTCTGAGGGTTATATTGGAAAGGTTGTTCAAGGGGGAATGAAAGTATATGGGCAGTTGTAAAGTCAGATAAAGAGAACTACAGAGGACAGAGTGAATTAGCGATGTGCTGCAGAAACCCTATGCTCCGCTCAGAACCGAAGCAAGTAATAATAATATATCAACATAAATCAGATATTGGATAACCTTGAAGTAATGTGTGATTACTCATGTGTTAAAACGCATGAATTCAACTTTTTACAGTAATATTTTTTCATTGATTAAATATACATGATACCGATAAGTGCCGATAGGAATGAGATTCGTGTCTAATATTTTTCCTCATTAACAAATTTTATGCATTTACAGCTGAACTTAGTGTTCCACAGATCCATCATATCTAATTCACTCATCACATTGAACATTTATATATGTATCGTACATTGCAATCATTTGGCAGTAATTTTCAAAACGACATCTGATAGAAAGTTAAATCTCATCTAGCTTTTATGTGCTTATAATGTTTCTCATTTCATTTGCGTTTCATGAATTTATACAATAAGCACTAGAATAAAACGGATTGCCGAATAATTAGATACGGTGTGGTCTGTGCTACTGATAAGGTTTATCAGTAGTATATAGACGGAGGTTCATCGCCAAAAAATATCAAAAAGCGGAGAAATAGATTTGACGCCAAAGAGAGCAAATGATTCAGCGTTACGGCAAAACATGGGAGACACGAACTGGCGACAAAGAAACACAGTACGAAGGGCAGAAGTAGCACAACACGGAAGTTATGTGCAAATGGTGCGTTGAAGATAAGGCGTCGGTCGGTTGATCTTAGACATAGAACTTTGCAATGATGTGCGGAGGTTCAAGTCGCCACACTCCATGTAGCACACAAAGGAAGAGAAGAAAGTAGGAGAAATGCATAATAATATAGACAGTAAACAGAGGTGTGAGACAAAGGTATTGTAATAACGAAGAACAAAACAGTTTCACTGGAAATCATAGGTCACAAGGAGTGGATGCATCTGCGATAGCCATTGAAAACGATTTTGAGCCATGTCACCAATTGTTTCCAACCATTGGTTTTTACCGTCCCGAGGACCCCAACCAGGAAGTCTACACCTTCCTACGTGGCTTAGACTAACTGTTGTGGATTTCATTGACTGGTGCCATGTTTTCGTTTGACCACCGCTAGCTCTTTTCCAGTCTGGCCCTATATCAGCTAACATTGCCCGTCGAGGAAGGCGATGACTAGGCATACGTAGCACATGTCCTAACCATCTCAGTCGAAGTAATTTCACAGTTTCGTCGATTGATTTCCCCTCCGTACCTAGCACTCGACACCTAACCTCAGTATTGCTCACCTTATTATACCACTCCACACGATAGATAGAACGCAGGCACCTATGCTCAAAGATAGCTAGTCTTTTCATGTCTTCCACTCTCAATGGCCAGGTCTCACAGCCATAAAAGAGGACGGAGTGGACTGTTGAGCAGTACACACGCCCTTTGGTCGATAGTCGGATATCACGTCTACGCCAGAGAAGGCGTAAACTGGCGTATGCGAAACTAGCCCTCTGTATTCGTGTTGAGATTTCGTCTGAGATCAACCCGTTGGGGCTGATAGTACTTCCCAAATAAGTGAAGCGGTCAACGTGCTCTACCACTTCACCAAGTCTCTTGCCTTCTACCGTTACAAGACTTCAAATCTGTGACACAGTAATTATTGGGATTTTTTTACTGCTTATAGTTATCCACCGATATCGTATTTTCTTTACAATCAACACATTTTGTCGAAGTACGTTTCCTTTTCTCTTCTTTTTCTTTATAGGTATTGCAGAAAGTCACTTTAGCTGTTGCTGATTTAAATGAAAAATTGTTTCTACCGAATGGATTACTGATGATTGATCCTTCTGAACGTGGACTCAGAGTTGTATCCTTTATTAGCAATGATCTTTTAATTTTAGGGATATGATAGATGGATGTTAATCTAAGAGTCAATCGGTGAATTGTGATTTGAACAAGGCTGATGACTACAGCTGAATGTTTCGTAATATTAGTTTATGAGTGTAAATTCTGTTCAGGCTTCTTTACGGAGTCGATGTGAGTGTATAATGGAAAGGGGCGTGTAATTAAGCATTTGTATACTCACATTTATCTGCATCTATGCACTTAAGATGCCTAATTTCCAACATATGTTCACGACTTTGCTAGCTTACACAGTGTTAAGTTTTTTCTCGAACTTTTTAGTGAATAAATTTGAGATTTGCTTTAGGGATCTACTAAGCCCCATCCCCACCTAACTTCTACAAACAGTAAGGCTAGGTTATGTGCGCAGTTTCGTGAATGTGATAGTGAAGATACTCGTTAATTATATTGGTTTATTCCTTATTAATGTAGATTTGGGGAAAATATTCTCACATGAATATATGTGTAAAACTTGGGCACTGTGGTTTTTCGAACATATCAACTCGAAGGTTGAAGCAATTCAATTCACTTATGAATTGGAAAATCAGGAAAGGGAGCTCCCAAT